CAAAATTAAGGAACAGGAGAGCAGTTGAGTTGGTTTAGGTGCTGTGCTTTTGATGCTTTCTTGCAGCAGTTTTAATAGAGAAGTACAAAAATTGAGTTTTCCTGGGCAAACGCCGTAAAAATCTTCAAAATCCAGGAAATTTTGGCGAATAAAAATGTGGCGCTTAAGACATCTGGGCAGCAAGTCTCCTTCATGCCGTTCTTTCTAAAGACGGGGAATTTCGGCTAAAAACTAAAGCAGGAAATTTCCTTCATTCGGCCGTCCCCACGTTCTTTCATTATTATCTGCATTTATAGCATATTTGATATAATATTTATTTATACCAAATGGCAGGCGCTTTGATAGTTATCATTAGCCCTTTAGTTGTATTCAGACTTCACAGAGGGGAAGGAACATCAAAGTGAAAAAGTCGAGAGGGGGGGGGGACAAAAGAGTGTTTCAAAGACTAGGTAAAAGAGACAGACACAAAGGTAAAGAAAAGGTGAGGTAAGTACTGTGGAAGAAGTCGAATATGACATACAATGGGGTGATGGAAGTTTGAAGTGAGAAGTCAACTGCCGGTTAATAAATTTTTTTGCTGCATGAGTGTACGTTGCCCAGGGTGCACCACGTGGAAGTAAGTATATCGCACACCCCAGATATAATATAAATTCTAATAAGAATTTTAACTCTTTCAGGACAATTTTGCGGTTCTCATTTGCGAATTCGTGGAGTTCAGGACGTGGAGAAATCTCTTAAAAAATTTGAAAAACACTGAAATGCGATATTACATTTACCAGTTACTTCTGGCTTTACAGGCCTGTCATGGCCTTGGAATCATGCACAGAGATATCAAGCCCAGCAACTTGGTTATCAATCCAGATCGGAGACAATTGCGACTGATAGATTGGGGTCAGGCAACTTACTATCATCCAGATCAGGAATTCAGTGTCTTTGTTGGAACAGACATTTACAAAAGTCCGGAGATGCATCTTGGTCTTAGGGTACGCTTTCTAACTTTAAATATTTAAGTCAATTAATATGATTTTTTGAGGACTTAATATCTTTAAATATGATATACCCCGAGGAAAGAAGGAGATTTGGAGCCTAATACCAAACGATTTTTGTCGAACTAGAAGCAGGATTTAATAAAACATGAACAGATGTTGACAATCTAATTTGAATCGAATTCCCAATAGTAGCGCTTCAGCTGAATGAGATTTAAATAGGCTTTGTTTCCTGAAACCGATATCTTTTGCACACACCAAGCATAATAAATGATACAATATTGTACATAAGCACACCAATGTTCGCGTTTTCGGGTTCGGTAAGTTCAGCTCATCTTTATTGTTGTCTGGGAGGGATGTGATTGGCGAGTCTACATACTTGCGCCCTTCATGGCTTAAACATTTGGTAGATTTGAGTCAAGTTCAAATTCAGCCATAAGTGAAGGAGTTCTAGATATTGATTCACAAAGGTGAAGATTTGTATTTGGCTACACCTTCAAAATCCTGATTTTCACTAACCACAAAGTGGTAGAAGGAATAAAACAAAATTTTTTTTAATTCGAGAGATCAAGTTTGGGCTGATCATTTCCAACGGTTATTTTGAATGAATTATAATTTGCAGACAGTTTAATGATCCCCATGTTCGGCAACCATGTCAGAGGTCAAGTTTGGCTAATATCTTTTGAGTCCATCAGCAGAAAGGCACTGTATGATGTCACTATCCATGCACGATGAGTTCTGGGAAGTGTGTTTCTAAGTGGGCATGACATCATTATTAATAGTAGTATCTAAATCCGAAATGTAATGCATACATTAACTGTGTTTATTTCTCTACTTAGCGTTACAATTTCGCTGTGGATATGTGGTCTGTTGGATGTGTCCTGGCCAGTGCAATATTTCGTCAAAGACACTTTTTCAACGGAGGCAACAAGAGGGAGATTCTTCTTCAAATTACCCAAATTGTTGGCTCAGGCCCTATGCTTAAAGCTATAAGGAAGTATGAAAATCCCGAATTCAATGAAGACAGAGCCTTTATGAACATCAAGGCAAAGAATCTGTTTGATTACATTAATAAGTCAAACCAAGGGGTGGCCATTAGATCAGCCGTGGATTTGGTCAGCAAACTGCTCGTCTGTGATCCAGATAAGCGTTATACTGCCGAACAAGCGCTCCAACACGGCTATTTTAAACGAGCTCACCGATTTCCCACCGAAGTCAAAATTTAAGTGAATTAAAATTGGAAACATATTTTTCTGTCTTTTCTTACCTCCTAGTTCCCTTATATTAAGTTAATCCTTTTAAATGCTATTTCTATATGAATGTCTTAAGGTGCATAAAAATATCGCGATAGTGAACAGAACACAATGAAAATTGTGATTAGCATTTAGTAATTATCTGACGAATTATCACAAAGTTATGATCTTAACTGTAATTGTGCTTTGTTACGTTGTAACGACCATTGATTCCTGATCGCCCGAGAAATCTTTTCATTCAGGTCCCCTCTTACTTACTAGTCAATCAGTAGAACAGTCTCTCCCATGGGAATTTTCAAACACGTATGAAATTCCTTGATAGGTGGCTAATATGGAGGAAAAAGCACTCGATACTTGATCACTGTATATATTAGACTAATCAATAAGTGAAAGTGTGATTAACAATACATTGGATAGAGGATTTAGGTGAAAGAGATTGAGGGTGAACAATATCTTTCTAGAAAAATTGGACATAATCAACAGGAAAGAGAGTTATCTCATGGCATTTTATCATGGAAGTCTATTTTTTCCTTACAACATTAACCACTGCATGGATTCCCGTCAGCATGCGGGCACCAATGCACACATGCTCACTTGATTCAAATCGGTGATATTAAAGTTCTCATTCACCACTTCTGGTACAATTAGATTTGGTGGGCTTTCGCTCTCTTGACAGGGCAAAGCTTAAAACAAAGCTTTTCTTGAGAAAGGTACAATCTTTCATGGAACAACAGGCAGTGTAACATCTAGCACATTGATCTGCTCTTACCA